ACCCTAACCCTAACCCCTAACCCTAACCCTAACCCTAACCCTAACCCTAACCCTAACCCTGTCTAACCCTAACCCTAACCCTAACCCTAACCCTAACCCTAACCCTAACCCTGACCCTAACCCTAACCCCAACCTTAACCCCAACCCTCACCCTAACCCTAACCCTAACCCCTAACCCTCACCCTAACCCTAACCCTAACCCCTAACCCTAACCCTAACCCTAACCCTAAGGTAAACACTACATTGATGGGAAAGTGATGTATCTTGAGGGGAAAGGATGATAGGAATGGAATAAAAACAACCAAGAGAGAAAGTGTAAGTGTATCAATGCCACAATCTATACATATGCTATGTACTGATACCATTTGAAATGAAAACAAAAATATCTCTGTGACTTCCCTATGGAGTCTTGAAGGACAGAATAATGTCCAAGTTATAGTCATGTGCATTGTGGAAGTCACACTCTTCTGTTTTCACCACGCTCCAGCAATCCAGATCAGCAAAGGGTGCACAGGAAATTGTCCACAGTCAGTAGGGTGAAGCACAGGGCTGCAGTCCCATGGTGTATGTCCACAGGCTCTGCAGTAGTCTACCACTCCGTCCTGTCCACAGGGCTCAGTACTTACCTGTCTCTATTCAAAAAGCATGGGCTCCACACAGGAGCCCAGTCTCACAACCCATTTCTCCTTCATCTCCTGCAGACTCCCACTTGCTGGCTTATATAGGAAACAGACCTCCATCTCCTTATGACACCAGAATGGGATAACAGGGTGGCAGCATCTTGGCATTGGTGCCTAGGGAATGGAGAGGAACAGGCAAAGGGATCAATGTTGATTATGATGTGCATTCCCCTCTCTGTAATATAAAAATACTGTCATTTCTTAGTATAAACATAAATCATGCATTTAAAGAGCTTTACTTTATTCAAAATAACCACTCACAATTACAAGTTTCTTGTCTGTGATGAGCCTCTAGCAGAAGATCCTTCAGTGGAGTTGCTCTCTTTTCATATTCTCTGTACAGATGATGTCCCAGAATGAGGCATGGGGAATGGAGCCCTGTGCATTTCGGAGCAGTAGGAAAGTAACTGAGTCTCACTGGGTCCTGCCAGACAGGGAGAAGTTCTTCACAAAAACCCCAGTATATACTTTAGGAGTTGTTTAAATTTCTTTATCAACTGAGTTAAGAATAGATACAGGGAGGCACACCAGGGTGTACAAATGAAGAGTAAAACAAGTGACATCAACTGAGCATGAGAAAAGAAATTCTATAAAATTTACTAGACAATTACACACCTTTTAAAATCTTCGACCAATGTAATGATGTATACTTTTATTCCAGTTCAGTTAAATATATCATAAGTTCAGTTTGTGGAAATGTTAAAATGTATAAATCTTAGGCTGGGGATTTAGCTTAATGAAACAGGCACTTGCCTGGCACAAGCAAGTTCATGAGTTCTATCCCTGGTACAAAACAAAACAAAACAAAACAAACAAAACAAAACCACACACACACACACACACACACACACACACACACACACACACACATATGTGAGAATTCTCTTACATTAATCAATAACAATTTTTCTGAATAAACTGTTTTACACTGAGAGTTTTGATATCCCATCTTTCAGTATATCATCCTACCTGGCCAGCAAGTATTTTTACCCAAGCACATATCGATAATTCTTCAGCGGTCTTCTTGCAGATCTTTTTGTTTTTATCAATTGTAGAATTCTTCCATGACTATTTGTCTGCTTTTATTATTGTAACAAATGCAAATGTACCAACTACTCCCCAGAAAGAATGTAATCATGTTCTGCAAACATGTACAAATAATAAACAAAATCAAACAAAAAAATAAACTGTAAATAATATTCTACTGATAAACAACCCAAAAAGGCAATTTGCACAGTATTGAGTAGAAACTTCACAGAGAAGAAAATGGTAAACTGATTTGTGAAATATTGTTCAGTCAGAAATCATTAGAAAACACAAATTCAAAATTTGGTAAGATATCGCAGCAAACCTTTTGTACTGAATCTTGAGGTGATTGGGATATGGCAAAAAGTGAATTTTCAGGCACTGTTGGGGGTAATGTAAATTGTTGTTGCCATTATGGAAAATAGGATGGAGATTCCAGAAGGAATTACAAATAAAACTATCATATGCACTGTCAAGCCTACTGAATATATATAGAGAGAGGAAATTAAACCAATATACTATAATGATAGATACACTTCCATGATTCTTGTAACACTGTTCACAGTGCTTAGGATATATAGTCTAATTAATTGACCATCATGGAGTGAGTGAATAAAGAAAATGCAATATGAAGACACATTGAAAAGAATTCCATCTATCTGGGTGAGGTCAGACATGACTGTAATACCAGACTCATGACACCTGAGGCGAGAATATCCCCATGAGTTCAAGGCCATTGAGTTCAAGATATTTAGAGTCCAGTGTCAGACTTAACTACATAGTGATACTCTGTCCCAAAGACAAAGCAGACAAACAATCAAACAAACTAAGAAAGAAAACAAATAAGTACCAATCTTAAAAATTATGACTCATCATTGTGAATAAGATTGATAAAAAGAAATATTTTATATTAAGACAGATAATGCAGCCTCAAAGGGAGCTAATATGTATGTAGGATATGAATCAGGTGCCCTCAGGAAGGCAGAATGTTGGTCACTGGTGGCAAGGGACTTGAGTGTGCTACACAATAAACATCATCTCCTTGTAGGTAACCATAATTGCTAGGAACATATTTTAAATCATGGCAATAATAATCACTAACAATACTGCATTCTTTAAAATGACTAAGATTGTAATTAACTGTTCTCACACACAAATGTATGTAGTGTATGCATATAATTATGTCCATTTACTAATATATAATTCCTATATATGTTGTAAATCAATATCTTTATGAAATCATACTTTATGAAACCATATTTACTTTTATTTATGTACCTACCGTATTTGGAAAAAATACTCAGGCTTCCCTGGATTTTCTTCATTTTTCATCCACCAAAGTTTTCTTCTTTCATCCTATGGGACTGCACTCTAGTAGCTGCAACACAAGGGCTCTCTGAGCACTTAAACTTTCCCAGAGTGGAGATGCCCAGAGAAACTTGTAATTGTTTGGGAATTGGGGCCTGAAAAGAACTTATTTGTTTTCTTACTTGTCTCTTGCAGTCGTCTCTAGTGGCTGAACATGCACTGTCATGAAAACTACAGGTGAAATGGTAATTGCATTTAATGGGGAGCTGAGACCACACAATCATGACCCATATCTTGGAGTCTTGTCACCTCCCTCTCACAGAAGCAGGAGGCTTCGTGACTGTCAACTCGACCTGCTGACCCTGAAACAGATAAGGACCAGGTGAGTGTTTTATGCTCTGTTCTGTTCTTTAAAGTAGAGGCTGGGAGAGGATAAGATGTTTCAGAGTCTGCATTTGGGTGAGTCTCGATATTTGGAAATGAAATTCATCTGGCATGACAGACACACACAGGGAGGAAGGATGATTCCTGAATGCCAGGCTCAGCTGCCACCACAGACTGGAGGTTGAGACTGCACCAGCCTCTAACTTCTCTCCACGTAAGAGATTGCTGAGAATACTGCTCGAAGCATTAATATCTCCTCATTTAGATGATGTGTAACATTCCAAACAGGAAATCAATGTGTTGTTCTGATTGCTATGCAGAAATCACAGAGAAAGTGGTATGTTTGCTTCAGTAAAATTTCTTGCTTTTGCTGAGTGTGCTGGAACATATTAAACCAGCATATTTCTGTACAAGCAATGTGCTCTGATGGCAATTTCTGTTTTAGAATGATTTTTCTCTCATTCAGTTTGAGGTAAAGAATGATGATATTTTCTAGGTCTCTCTAAAATATTTCTAGTCTGTTGGCCACATTGGTAAAATTTCTTTTGTTATATACAGAGTTGGTTTCCATAAAAAAGTAAATTAATAGTTGAATGATTTCAGTTATATAAAAATTAAGAATGTCAAATTGTTTTTTATTTAAACCTGTCCTGTTATATATGTAAAGTCAAAAATCTTTTATGTTGTGATTCCATGTCATCATGGGATATCACCACTTGTGTGATAAAGACTCAGAATTTCATCTGTCATACATGATGTACTTTACCATCATTTCCATTGATATTCTATTATTTTATTTTTAAAAAGCAAGAAAAATTAGGAATCTATCTAATGACAGTTAATTGATTTTCTGTAATTTAAATCTCATCCATACAAAATTACCTTAGAACATCAAATAGATATTATATATAATTTCTATGTTAAATGATATTAGCAAAATTTATTGTCATCATAACATTGACCCACTTTCATTAAACTTCAACTGGAAATACGAGATGACTTAGGCCATCATTGATCTTAAAAATTTTTTAATATTCCCTCTGAGAAGTTCTTTGGTATAAAATAAAGCATTCACACTGAATGGAGATTATCATAGCCAGGTATGTCTATAGGAAACTTTCAAATATTACAAATATTTCTATACGAATATATCAAATTTGTCAGGATGACAAATATACAACATCACCATCAGTGTGTCTTTTTGATAACAAAGCACAGCAATAAGCACAATGTCACTTAATCCTGGCTCACAGGTCAGAGTGACTACTTGCCACTTAGATGAGTCATATACCTTACCTTTAATAAAGAAGCATTTCCTTCTAAAACAAAATTGTTAACCCAACATATTGTGATGCCTAAGTATTTTAGAATTGTTAAACTATTAATTGTACAGAACCACACATTTAAAAGTCTATTTAATGAAAAGGATCATTCAAGATTTAAAAACTAAAATGGCAAGATATATAGTGGAACCCAAATTTTAAGCAATATAAGTGTTAAATTTTTGAATTCATTTTATATGAAATACTTTCACCATAACTTATCTCTCTGCGCAGAATCCTGTATTTTGGAATGTGATTATGAATCCTGCATAGTAGAAGAATGTCATCCATGGATCTGAAATTAGTAATCCTGTTCCTTTTCCCTGTTGTCATTGGAAGCCTGGGGAATCTCATTCTTTTATATCACTTTCTCTGCCTTTACTGCAGGGGAGGCAGGTCCAGGTCCATGGATGTGATTCTCATGCAACTAACTGTGGCCAACTCCTTGTTCATTCTTTCCAGAGGAATCCCACAGATCCTGGAAGCTTTTGAGATAGAAGTCTTCATTACTACCCTTGGATGCAAACTCCTTTTCTATGTTTACAGAGTGGCTAGAGGTGCATCTTTCAGCATCACCTGCCTGCTGAGTGTCTTTCAGGAAATCATCATCAGCCCCAAAAGCTCCAAGTTTGCAAAACTGAAAGCTAAAACCCTAAAATACATTGGACCCTGTGCCATAATTTGCTGGGTCTTGCAAATGCTGCTAAACATCAGAGTTCCTATGCTTGTAAGAGAGAAAAGGAACAGTGAAAACATCTCAAACACTATAGATTTTCATTATTGCTCAGTGATGAGTTCTGACAAAGAAAAATCCTCCATCTTTGTGGTACTGGAATTATCTCATGATGTTTTGTGCTTGAGACTTATGATCTGGAGCACTGGCTCCATGGTTTTGATTCTGAACAGGCACAAGCAGCGAACACAGCACATTCACAGACAAAACAGCTCCTCAAGATCTTCCCCTGAGACCAGAGCTTCTCAAAGCATCCTCCTCCTAGTCTGTGCCTTTGTGTCCTTTCATGCCCTATCTTTTATCACAAATCTTTGGTTTTCTCTTTATTACAGATATTCTTGGTGGCTGGTTAAAACTTCTGACTTAACCTATTGGTGTTTCCCTACTGTTAGTCCCTTCATTTTCATGACACGTGAGCAGTGTGTGTGCAGGTCCATGTGGAAAAAGTGAGCACACATCTCACCTCATGAGAATAGTGAACTTTTTACGTGTTCAATACTATATGCATTTGTCAATGCCGAAGCCCAAGGCACAATTTTGAGCCAGTATTACTGCAGAAGCATATAAAAATATAATGGCTAGAGGTTTCTATAATCATCTATAATTTACTGCAATTCTAAAGGAAGTAAATTGTAATATCTATGATTAGTATAATTTTATTTTACACTTGCAGGATTCTGACCTTTGTTTTCACTGCCTTTCTTTCTTTCTATCATCTTTTTTTCTGTGATTTCTGTATGAAATATTTCTCTTTATCATTCTCAATTAAATTTTATAATTTAGTTTTGTCAATGTAATATGTATATCAAATATGTAATTTATAATGACTACATATTTAAATAATTTTGATTCTTTTAATAGTATTTTATTACTCCCTCCTCATTAAACTTTTGGATTTCTATTTGATCATATATGTCAGATCCAGGTTTATATTTTGTCGCTTAAGTACAATCTCTTGACTCAATTATTTAAATTATTCTTTTAAATTCGTTATTCTTTAAGAAAGCTATCTTCAACTGCTTTTTTAGTAAGACCTTGTTTCATTGTAATCGTTTTGGCCACATTTTGGAAATGTAGCTTAGTGGTAGCCCCTTAGTCGGCCCATGTAACGTGGAATCAATCACCGGCACCGCAAAAACAAAGTGTAGTTTGGAGACAAAGACAAAAGTTCAGGAACACAATAATCACCTGTTAAGCTACTTTACTGTGCATGGTTAACATTCAAGCCTGAATCCCATGTTGTACAGAACTGGAGGTAGTTGGAAACAAAGAACACACAAGATATATCTTGAAAAACAGTACCATTCAAATTGGAATCATTTTATAATCTTGCCAATGTGAGTAGAAGAGTTCATCTGAGTCCTGTGTACAGAGACAAAAGCAAAATATCTTTATTTTGGTAAGAAATGATTCCCATAGTGTGTGTGTGTGTGTGTGTGTGTGTGTGTGTGTGTGTGTGTGTATTTTCTTTGATTTCACTTTTCCATTCAATGAAATTATCACGGTATTGTCATGTGTCTTATGCAAGATCATTTATTTATTCAGACACTCCAGACCTTGGAAATCCTTTGCTTCTTCCATGTCCAGTCCTCTCTCCCCAACTTACTATCTAGATCACATCAAAATGTGTAATCTTCATATGTTTGATACGAAAGAGCCTTTTAAACATGAAAACCTTATGCCAAAAATTGCACACCATCTCCACTAGATTCTTCTTAACCTGTGTGAATCATTGTTCATGGCTTTTCTTTCACTTGTTGTGATAGTGCATGAGATGTTCCCTCAGGAAAAACTTTTACACAATGTGGTGTTTCTAATAATCCACAATTCAAAATTCTTCAGAAGTTGTATTGGATATGTTTCTGATCCTTAGCCAAGACCTCTGAGTTTCTTGAAACCTCCATTTCTGGGAGATTAGAATTCTCTCCTCTTTTTTAGGTTTGGTCTTTGAATATTGTTCCTCTACCTAATGTCATACAGCATTTTAAAAAATTACTGTGCCATATTTGTTTTGTTCAGTGTAATGTCTTTGTATCATGCTGTTTGTCTGTTGCAAGGTTTTCTTATATTCTGAGGCTGTATACTAATCAGTTATAAAAGTGAAACACGTATTTCTTATTATCATTACATCAATGATCACTTAGATATCTTCTCTATGTTGGTTATGGTGAATTGCATTTTAATTAAATTATAATAGAAATGTGACTTTGAAATCCAAATTTTCACTCCAGTCAATGTATATCCAGAGCCTGGAATGCCAAATCAAATGGTAGGAATATTTTTTTTTAATTTTGGAGAAAACATTTCTACAGTATTCCATAGCAGAAAAAATAATTTCCTGCCAAACAAGTACTATCTGTTTCACTGTACTGGCTCCTATGTGTTTTTGTGCTGATTCTCTTCTTTTGGGAAATGTCATTTACATTCTGGGTATGACTAACTAAGAGAAGAACAAAAAATTCACAGAGACTGTAGATTCTGTTCTGCAGTTCATTCTGTAATATCCCCATGTGTTCTGGGCCAACCCTGATGAGGTGGTTACTGTCTTTTCTTAGTGTTCTGTGTTCTCTTCATGGCCTATACCAGTGATTTCAAAGTCTTTACATTCTGTACTAACACAGAGTGGGTCACATATCCATGGGAACAAACTGTCACCCAAATCTTCCCCTGGGACCTGAATCAGTAAATCCCTCCTTCCCTCCCACATGGAGCTATACGCACAGCCTCTCTATTTTTACTAATATGGAAGAACCAAATATTGCATAAACCTGTTTAAATCTGAAGTCATACATGAATTCTCTTTTCAGGCTCTAAACCTTCCTGCTCAAAAGTAAAACATTGGATCTGAGGCACTGACATCACCAGAGAGATATTCAAAAATGATACAACCACAGAGACCACTGAATCATTTCCTATACCTTAGATTTACTGTTCATTATTGTACACATTAAGTGAGATGAATAGACTTTTATTCACCATTTCATTTTTACCTGTAATGTGTATAAAATTGATTTTGTGTGATACAAAACAATCACTCACAGTTCACATATCTGTATTACAGAAACATTTTACATATTATTATTTTGATGATCCTATACCATTCTATTTTCACTCTCAGAGAATACATCAGAAACATTAACACCAAGACAAAATTCTGTTTTGCATAGTTCAGTTGACACATCTAATCAAAACATTTTCCATGTCTTGGCAAATGGACTTGTTTTGTGGTTAAAGTGTTAATTTTCCTCATTTTTCTGATGTTCACAGAGGTTGCTGTGGAATCTCCTAGGAGGAGATGAAAGATCATGCCCCTATTTACAGTGCTTTTTTCAGGGAGACGATGTTAGAAAACTTGAGGAAACTACGCTCAGAGCGGGGGAATATCTGTCTATATAATTAGAATGGGAAATTCAAGATTTAATTGACTTGCTTCACAAAACATTTGATAGGAGCTTATATTTTGCATAAAAAAGTGACATAGCACTGAGTTTAAAGAATAAAACTGGATGTTCCTTCCTGTACAAAAAGAGCAACTTAATGATTTTATGTTTTCTTAACTCTTCCTTTCCAAACAGATAAGAAACCAACAATCTCTATTAGTGCTTGTTTCAGATATTCAGTAGAATATAGATTGTGTTCCAAAATTTAAAATGTAATTTCTATCTTTTATGGAGGGTGTTCAGTAATAAGTAAAAGTGAGGCTTATTGAAAATACTTCTTAAATATTGTAAAGATTTTGGCCAGGGAATACTACTTGGGAAATAATTTTCTGGGTCTTCTATTATATTTTCTCTTTCTATGGAGAACAGTGCTGGGTCCGAAATTCCATGTACTTCCTACAAACACCCCAGCAATCCTTCGGTTTTCATAACATGATATCTATGCTGCTGTCCACCAAACAAGAACTGTTACACAATTTCAAAAATCAACACACAAAGGCACAATACAGCCGGTGTTTGAATGTCATTGAAGAGATAAGCTTGACTCTGAAAGAGTTCTGGAAAAAATATCTCAAGTATCAACCTCATTGACAAGCCTGAGTCTTTAACTCAGGCTGTTGGAAACTATGACCAATATATGTAGTTGCAGGTAACTGTAAAAGGTGTGATGCACAGGTAATACAGTGGATGTGAGTCTATGCAGCAGTAGGACCTGCTGATTTTAAAGGCTCAAATAATTGATTTCTGCATTGGGTGAGGGAGAATACCGAAGGTGAAGGAATAAGGAATTATTTGTAGTGAAATAAAAATTTGACATTAATATATTATATTTGTTAACTGATTACTGAAGAAAACACTGTGAGTTACAAATACTCAGCAAAGCATAAGTGTGGACTGCTATAATAAGTGGCATGCGGGACCCCTGAATTGAGCAAGAACTACAGCCTCAGCTCTGAATGACTGACCCTGAAGCTGTTGGGTCCCATTGCTTTCATTTTTGGATCTCTCTTACCACCCAACCAAAGGTCACTTTTTCTATTTATATATCTTGTCTCTACCGGTGTACAGAATGAAAAAAGTACACAGTCCTTTAACATGATTTTATTTTCTAGATTACCACAGGAGTTACCAACAGAACACTGGGGTAGCATACTTGCTCTTACTGTATTAGTTTGAAAGCTTTTTCTTTGTTATTTCTCTGAACCTGCTTGTGAATTTTCTTTCAGTGGTGCAACTTAGAACTATAGAGACTAGAAGAGCATTCTATTATGCAGCAAGAAAACTCCCCAGGGAGGAGCACAGGCAATGTACACAGCAGTCTCAGAATTTTCAGACATCAGTTTTCTGCTGGCCTCCATCTGACCCTGGCTGCTCCAGAGTCAGAATGTGTAGGAAAGTTTGTCAGACTCTTCAGTGATCTCTTTTGAGATGCTAAATGACAAAGTCAATTGGTTTTTAGTAATTAGCAACTGGAAAAATTTTCAGCAGTATTCTTAATACTACAAGCATCAGTTGTCACTGGTACTAAGGATAAAATAATAATCATACATTTGTGTGGGTTGAGGTCACAGAATGACAGATATTTTTATTGTGCAGGGTAAATTCGCATTCATACCTTGGCTGGACACGGTTGTAACCTTGGGTTGTGGCTAGGTGAGTGCTTCCTTTAGGTTGAAGCAAATGGTGTGAGAAACACAGGTATTTCAGAAAAGCTTGATTTAGGATGGTAAAGTAAAATGTAGTTACTTGAGATAAGGATTGATTCATAGTAAAACCACACATGAATATTCAACAGCTTCTCTAGCATTAGTGGATCCAGTAAGGACAAATATATGTCTTAGATATTCTAACCAGCTCACAAATGACTCCTAATGAAACCATTAATGCCAGTGGAATTGGTGGATTGGTCTAGCAATCAACTATGCACAAGCCTAACATCCATAATCCCAGCATTACACTCCAAGTCATTCACACACTCTAGATTCAGCTGCTTATAAGAAAAAACCCTCT